AAGACACAGTTACAGAGTCAATTAGGTAGCCTGGGTAGAGTTCTCCAGAGGGCACGATATACTTTCTATCAGTGTCCAATATATGATATGGTTTCTCCCACAGCCAGTATCCGTGGGTCCAGGAATCAAGGGGTGGAAAAGGGAATGGTTCCACAAACTATCACCCTTACTGACCAACCGAGAAAAATTTTGCATCCCTGTTCTGTGACCTTAAGTTCTGCTAGCCTAGAAGTTTTGATTCCACAAGGGGGAGCTCTCCTACCAGGAGACACAACAAACAGGCCCTAGACCTGATGCCCTTTAAGCCAACAGGCTAAGAAATGAGTAAAAGTTTTAGGAGGAGTGATTGATTCAGATTACCATGGGGAAATTGGGTTGCTTCTTCACAATGGAGGAAAAAAAAACCTGTGTCTGGAGGGTAGGAGATCCCTTAGACCAGTGATCTCAACTTCCTAATGCTGAGACCCTGTAACACAATTCCTTATGTTGTTGTCTAACCGTAAATTTATTTTCATTGCTACTTAATAATGGTGATTTTGCTACTGTTATTAATCAGAATGTAAATATCTGTGTTTTCCAGTAGCCTTAGGTGACCCTGGTGAGGGTCATTCAGCCCCCAAAGGGATCACAAGCCACAGGCCGAGAACAGCTGATTTAGGGCGTCTCTTGGTGCTATGATGTCATGTGGTTGAAGTCATTGGAAAACTACAAAAGCCCCAAACCCAGCAGGATGACAAAGGGTCCAGATCCTTCAGGAATGAAGGTCTGGGTCACTCTTCCTGGAAAAGAGGTGCTTGCTGAGGGTGGAGGAAATACAGAATAGATAGAAAAAGACAGTTATAAGTACCCTGAGGCCATGTGACCCGTTGCAGAAATGAGAATTATACGTGATATAAGTGCTTCTCTATTTTGCTTGTGTACATGTGTGTGTATACTTGCCTCAGTTTCTTTATCCTACAACATCAACTGAGATAATACCAGCAGTTATCATACTTAAGCTATGAGACACTAAAAGAATGTTCAAGGAACATTGCCACTTATTCTACATATATAAAACATTTTTGGTTGTAGTGGGATAGTTATAGCATGCTAAATATAACATGGCCTTGTTATCATTTTCATTTAGAAATTAAGCATGATGTAAGGAGACATGATGGTGTGTCAAGTTTACAAGGAGTGGATTTGTGATGCCTAACCTTGGTTGTCAACTTACCACATCTGGAATCAATTAAATCCTATGCAATTGGGCCCACACCTCTGAGAGATCCTAAATCTGGGTCGTACCTTCTGGTGATTGCCTATATAAAAGGACACGGGGAAGGAAACTTGTTCTTTGGATGCTTGCCCTCACTCTCACTGGCAAGTGCTTCTGTTCTGCTGCGTGCTATTCCTTCACTGGTATTAGAAGCTACTTCTTTGGGATTACAGCCAGAGGCTAAAGACTAGCTGAGATATCCAGCCTTGTGGACTGAACAACTATTATAACAGGGCCCCAGATCTTACTTACAACTAAGTACCATTCAGGCTGTAAAACTCAGCATATAGACAGCATTACCAGCCAAAGCTAAAGCAAAGCCCTGGTCCATCAAAGTCCCCATAGTTCTGGGAAAGTCTCTAAACAAACTAACCTTGCCTTTTTACTTCTACAGTTCTACTTCTAGCTAGCTGCTCTTTCTAGCTATAAGTATATCGACCCAGAACATGTTTTTTTGTGCTTAAAAGCTAGCTGGGCAGTGGTGGCACACACCTTTAGTCCCAGAACTTGGGGGGCAGAGGCAGGCGAATCTCTGTGAGTTTGAGACCAGCCTGGTCTGCAAGAACTAGTTCCAGGACATGCTCTAAAGCTACACAGGGAAACCCTGCCCCTGGGGGGGGTCCCACCCTAAGGAAGGCTCAGTGCTACACTGGGATCCTGAACACCAGCTGTAGTATCTGACTGGTTAATAAGGACTTTCAAATTACTTAAACCCAAGTCCGAGCAAGTCTCCTCTGGTGAGGATCCCACAACACTATCAGCTTCTTGGCATTTCCATAGGGAGACTGTCATTGTTGAATAAGATGGACCACGATCTGTAAGCTACGCTGATAAATCCCCTTGATATTCATTCTATCAGTTCAGTTTCTCTAGAAAATCCTGACTAATATAGTCCCATTCCTTCCTAGGGCATCCATGTGATTGAGCATCCTACCGAGAAGGGATAGCCTTTGGTGTGAAGAAGCTGCAGTGTCTGGTCACCAGGGGCTGAAGAATCAGCTCTGATTAACAAGAGACCAGAACCATTAAACTGAAACCTTCCCACCAATTACTGGGACAATTGGTGCTGGTTGGCTGGAGATAAGACATGAATGGTGATTAAGAAGAGACCACTGTCACTGAGTCCATATCTTCTGGGAAATGTTTACTCGGAGTCAGAACGCAGAAGTTGTGTTCCAGTGGTGACCAGGGCTGTACCTTGTGCTGGCAGCCAAACTTGGTCATGTGTAAGAGTCTCCCAAATGCCCCTGGTTTTGAAGGTATGAAGGGGTCGTGGGGAGTAGCTGAAGCTTGACATTGAAGACCAGGAGAGGCCACAGGTGAAGGTGCAGCTGGAGTATCGATGGAAGACTCAGGATTGAAGGGGTCATGGAGAAAGCTGAGGCTTGGCACCATGAAGAGAGCCCAGGAGAGGCTATTGGTGAAAATATAGCCCAGTCGAGGCAGAAGACCCCAGCATTTTGGAGATGCCAGTGCCATGGATGACCACCAAGAACAGCAGCGGTGGAGTAGAGCCAGCCGGAGCCTAGAGGAGAAGCCGTGTGCACTGCGAGGGCAGAGCCGGAGAAGTGAGCCGAGCCCTTTGGAGGATACTGAATTTTTAAAGTTGGAGTTTTGTTTTGCATTGTTCAAATTGTTACTATGCCCTGGTTCTTCCTTCTTGATATATATCCTACAGTTGAGACTTTGGCTTTTTTAAAATGCTTGAAATTGTAAGGCAGTGGGGCTTTTAAGTTTGAAGTGTTTTATAATGTGATCTCCATGGTAATGTGTGATCTGGGGGATGAAGAAGAAAGGAAAGGTTGTGGCTTAACAGTGATTTGTGTGTCAAGTTGACAAGCGGTCAATTGTGGTAGCCAGTTTGATGTCAACTTGACACAAGATAGAGTTATATGAAATGAGGGAACCTCAATTGAGAAGATGCCTCCAATGGGCTGATGGTCCTGGGTTCTATAAGGAAGCAGGCTGAGCAAGCCATGGAGAGCAAGCCAGTAAGCAGCTCTCCTCCATAGCCTCTGCATCCAGGTTCCTGCCCTGTTTGAGTTCCTGTATTAACTTCCTTCAGTGATGGACTACACTGTGGAAGTGTAAGCCAAATAAACCCTTTCCTCCCCAACTTGCTTTTGGTCATGGAGTTTTATCATAGCAATAGTGACTCTAAGGTAGCAGGGTTTTCTATCATTGGCAGGAAAGACTCTAGTGGCAATGAGATACACTGCTTTCTGTTCCTGAACTATAATCACAATATTTTCCAGGCAGGGCTGAGTGACCCTCATTTGTTGCTGTGACCTCTGATTTGGCAAAAGCTCAGGCACCTAGTTGGTACATGATAGACCATCCCCAACCTATCACCGAGGGTCACGAGCAAAAGAGTTCGTTCAGCGCCACAGCTGGAGGCTGTAAGGCTCTAGACTGGCCAGGTCACTAAGTGGAGACTTGGCAGCAAGAGGATCATGGGAGAGCAGGCCCTGTGGCTGACAGGGAAGAAAGAGCCATATCCAGTCACTGGGAGTCACAAATAAACAATTCATCCATCTCTTTTTGTCACATTGTTTCCTGGACCTGCATAGATGGCCTTGTTGGGGAGTGAGATCTTATGTCAAAATAATAAAAGGGTCTCTAGAGCAAGCACAGAGCCCACACTCCAGGGATTGGCTTTCTTCCAGGTCCCCTGGTCAAGGCATTGCCAGACACTGTCCTGCTTGAGCCACAGAGTTCCAGGATCAAGTGGCATAACTACCACATGTTTCCAGTAAGACACTGACAGCACCTCCAGCCAGCCCAAGGGATAACAATAGGGTAGTACTATGGAAAGCTACATATGGCCAAGTTAAGAGGTGCTCAGGACAGGCGGTGGATTCCTGGGATATCCTTCTCCAGACTGAGTGTTGGATGCCTTGGACCTCTCTACCTAGGCTGGGTAACAGAGCTGAGCTCTTAAGACTAAAAGATGGGAAATAGAATTCCTGGCCAGCTCTGAAACCAGGGTTCACACCCTTGTTCTTTTTTCTACCTAGCCCAATTCCTGGGCAGTCAGAAGATCACCCGCCGTGGATGCTGAAAGGTGTAGTATGAAGTCCCAGAAACAAACTGGGGTCCTAGTTTTCAACGTTTTTAGGCAGGGTTTTGCTATGTAACCCTAGCTTGTTTAGACTATGTAGCCCAGACTGGTCTTGAACCCACACCAATACTCCTGCTTCAACTTAAGTGCTGAGAAAGCAGATGTGTGTCACCATGCCCATTTCAAATATGGACTTTGAGAATGCAACTGGTCTTCAAGGGCACTGTTTCTAAAATTCTCACGAGGACAGTTGGGAGGTGGCTGGTTCAAGTGTCACCTCCCAAGGATTCAGCCCAAAGAGAACAAATGCTGAGGCTGTGACAGCATTTCTAGGTCTTATGGAAAGTTGGCCTTGGAGAAAGAGTAGAGAAGGGGCCCTGTGCCTGACTCAGGGTTTGGAGAATATGCTAGTGGGGTGGACCCCAGTAACTGGGGGAGGTGGTTGAGGGAAACAGGGCCTCCTCAGAAGAATGTGACCAAAAGAAGCCATCAGGCTGCCAGCTATGCCACCATCTAGGGCACTTTGCCTTTGCTCCCATGTGGTACCATGTGAGGCACACAAAGGAGAGTTACGTCCACCTCTGTCCTGTTTATCAGTGTGTGGGACTCCCAGATGCTTACACCACAGGCAGATGGCACGCTAGCTGACCCTGGGGCTAGTGCTACAAAAGGCCACAGCACAGGTTGTATGTCAACAGCATTTATTTCTCATATGGTCAACAAATATTCAAGTCTGCTGACTCCTCTCTGGGCCGTGAATGGGATCTACAGACATCAGAGAAAGAGATCACACCACTAACCACAGGCAGGATCACTGTTGGCCTCCAAAAGAGCCTGATGGCTACTGAAAGCCAGGAGGAGAGAACGAACTGAGTGGGCAAGTTGGACAGGTGCCATGTTAGAGGTGGAAGGGCACACGCCTGCCAGGTGAACCTGTCATCTGTCCCTGGCACTCCTTACCTTGCAAAGGCTGCAGATCCTGGACCAGGACACCCCAGTGCCTTAGAGACCATCCCCTATTGTAAGTAGTGAGAGGGAGTGGCATGGGCCACCGCCTGAGGTCAGGCCAAAGTTGCCCAGAAGCAAATGCCTTTCTCCTAGCCCTGCCCCATGGTCAGGCTAAGGCCTTACTGAGCCAGGAAAAGGGGAGTGTGTCAAGACGTTGTCCTGACCAGAGGGTCCACTGAGGTCCTCCCGGAAGCGCCAGGAACTGTAGCACAGCCCTCAGCAGGCTGTTTGCTGTCCAGTCATGAGCCGTGAGCCCCACACTGGACCAGGAGAGAGCCACAGCACAGCCCTCAGCGGGGCCGCTTGCTGTCCAGGATGGCCTTCCAGTCGTCTGCCCATGAGTGCAGCCTCCGGCGAGGAGGCTTCAGCTGCAGGTGATGATTGTGGCAGGAGGTGAAGAGGATGTGCTCCCAGCTGGGGTGTGGCTCGGCCCCTGAGGAGGGAAGCAGCACCTCAGTCCAAAGACTGGGGCCCAAGTGTAGCTTCTGGAATCAAATCATGAAACCCAGAGCAGGTGGCAGGCCTCACATGACTCAGTTTCTCTGTCTGCCAAGTGATGCTCCATTAGCCTGTCCTACAGAAGGCATGAGGGTAAACATGGCACTGCGCACGGGGTACTCTGTGCAACACACAGGAAGCAGTCCACGTGGTGATGGCTGAAGGGCTCTGTCATCCACCTGGTTGGCCTGGCCAACCACCTCACTGCCCATCCTGTGCTACCTCAAGTGGGAAGCCTAGGCCTGCATGCCCTGTGGTTACTGGTACCAATCTCCTTCCACATTGCTGCAATCTCCTTGGGGTTGTGACCTACGAGCTCCTGTGGCTGAAGCCCTATAGGTCCTAAGTCTCTGGAAGCCTTTGTGGTTTGAGAGAGGCTGTTTCCATCCACACAGACAGTGGGTGTACCTCTAGAGGAACTGGGGTAGATAGGCATGTTCCCTGGCATTCAGCAAGCTTTAGGAAAGAAACTCTTTGCCTACTGATATGTCCAGAACAAACTGTTACCTGCAATTCCTAAGAACCACCAGAAGGAAACAGCCAGCCCACAATGTGCAAAACCAGGCAGAACACATCCAGGAGGCAGGAAACGGTGTGGGCAGCTAATGGAAGTCCCAAATCCCACTATGCCTGAATCCCTCCTCCACTCTACCTTGTCAGTTAAGTGAGCCAAGTGTTCGGTTTGCTTGTTTTTCTGGGAAGGGGTCATTAGCTGGAACCAAAAAAAAAAAAAAAAAAAAAAAAAAGGACAAATGCAATGCCCAAGCCACTGTCAGCTTAGACACTATACTATATATATAATATATGTAGTATGCTTATCCCGCACTATCATTGAGGGGTTTAAAAATCAAAGCTGGGTTCCTCACTCAGGAAATCCAACAGGTTAAAGTCAATCTGGGTAAGGCACAGATATGCTGGCTTCCAGTAGGATCCTGTCTCTAGGATGCCGGCCTCTCCTAAAGGAGGAAGCCCCTGGCTGGTGCCGATAAACACCTGGTAAAGGCGGGAAGTGAGCTGAGGAGACCCCAGGAGAGGTGTGTGGGAGAAGCGAGACTGCAACTAGGGTCACCCACCCTCCCCCGGCCACCCACCTCCCTGCCACGGGCTACTTGCCTGTGATGTCTGGCCGGTCATCTATGAGAAGGTCGGCAGAGACCACAGTCTTGTCTCTGGTCAACACAATTTGCTCCAGAAAGTCCGGGCCAAAGTGCTTCTCCACCCAAGCATACTAGAGGTAACGGAGAAGATGGCATCAGACAGTGCTGAGGGATGGCTCAGTGCAGAGCCCCAGCACTCAGAAGGAAAGGAGGCTAACACAAAGGGCCATTTCAGCAGCTCTGTATCCAGGACTTTGTCCCTTGGGAGCTGTGTATCTGCACACGCCTCAGCCAGACTACAAAAGGGTCACAACTGAGACCCAGGCCTGACGTCCCCAGAGTTACACAGAATGCTCTCAGCCCTCTATCAAAGGTTAGTCACACTGGTTCCCACCGTGTCCTGGGGCTTAGACTCCCTAGTGACTTCCTAAGGTGGCTGGCTCACGGAGAAATAGCCAGTGGATCTGCCCAACGTCCCTGCTGGGAACTTCAAGCAGAGCCAGGTATTCAAACCATGTGTGGGATGATACTGGGAGGCTTGGGGTGGAGGGGGAGCAAAAGTGCAGTAGTCTGGGAACGAGGAGAGTTACAAGGAGCTTGATTGTCACACCAGTGCAAAGGGGTGCTGCAGACAGCTGGCGACCCAGGCACACAGAAAGGGAGCAGGTGTCTGCAAGACTGACAGGCTGGAAGCTCAACTCTCAGACCACAGTAGCAGCTACCACTGATAAAACAATGTGCAATCTGGGAGGCCGCACTTCCCTTCGCCACTGTGAGGCTCTGGACCGCCTCTCCCTTTCCTAGGACACTTTGGAAACTGGGAAAACAGTCTACCCTCCTCCACCACCCTAGTGAGGCTGGCAGCAGACATGGCCTGACTAGCTACTGGGTCTGCCTCCATTGGGAGAACCAGGAGAGGGATGGGCGGCCCTGGGGCTGAGGTTCCCAGTCGTGCTACTCTGTCCAATATGTAGCTGTATCCAGCCACCTGGCTACCCTCCTACATCCTCTCTGATCTGCTCAAAGACCAGGACAGGTGTGGCCTTTATCAGGGCAGCTTCCAGCAGAAGGGAACAGGAACCTATGTCTGGATTCCTCTAACCCCACCGGGAGAACTAGCAGCAGCTGGAAGCTAGACTATGGCTGCAAGTGTGTCAGTGACTCATCCAGAATGACTGCAAGGGGAAGGTTGTGTAGTCACCCGTAGCAAAGCCTCAGGGAGGTCCTATTCATCCTGGCTGCGGCCCGTGTGACTTGGGCAGACATACGCCGCCCCGAGTGACCTCTAACCAAGAAGGACTTGGAAAACAGATCAGAGTCTATAGAAAGGGCTACATGGCCCTGCCTGTTCCATGCACACCATCAGGCCTCACAATGGTAACATTAATTTTCAGACAGTTCTCTCTGTTCAGGCCTTTAATCGCACACATGTATGCACGACACACACAGAGACATGACACACACTTTTCTTCTCCCCTGACATAGCAACTGTCCCCCTCTACTTCCTTTACCTTCACACTCCTCATCCTTCCAGGTGATGGCCACGACCGTGCCCGAATTATTTGTGTCCCTGCAGCCACCTCAGTAGCCTCTGACATCCTTTAGGACAGGGACAGTAGTTCTTTGGACACCTGTCCAAATGACCAATGAAGAAGAAACAGTCCTTTCTGCACAGACTGCCTGAGGTCACTCTAACTGGAAAGGCTTCATGGCCAAGGCTTCAGTGAAGACCTGCAGGCCCTACTGGCCATCTTCCCAGAAAGATACCCACTGCAGGGAACAGGCTCCCATTAGGCTCATAAAGTATCTTAGCCAGGCCAAAACGCTGCCTCAGGCAGATGGCCTGAGTCCCTGGGATGCATACATTAGCGGAATTTGGACAACCTACAGGGGTCAGGCCAGGGAGAAGACACACAGGTGACCCTAGTGTTGACATGGAGGTGACACAGGCGAGAATGGAAGACAGAAACCAGGGCTGCTAATGTAAGAGTACTTGATGTCTATCGCCTTATTATCCTCATGACGACATGGATGCAGACATCCTTCCTTCCCACTCCTGCGGCTCTTGGCTGTGTCTGTATGAGGCATACTGAGGAACCAGGAGACTCCTGGGCTTCTTCCAAGGAGGAGGGGCCCACAACTAAGACAGCCCAGGTTTAGTGGCACAAGGAAGGGTTCTGGGTCAGGACAGGGTCTGGCCCCTGAGCACCATGCTTCACAAACCATTCACAGAGCCGAGAAGTTTTACTTCCCTTTGTTAATTTCTAATTCATTGTAGCCAGCACCTCTGTGAGTGATAACCATGTGCTTGGGTGCAGCATCAGTATCAAGTCATCACAAGTGTCTGGTCCCATGCACCCAGTCTCTGTGTCTCTTGTCCCTGGCATGGCCTGTCTACAGAGGAGCAGCTGTACAAAGGAAACAGCACAGTGGCCAATCGATTCTGTACAGATAAAGAAACTGAAGTTCAAAGAGCATCAATGACGGTTCCACCACTGCACTCTCCTGCCCTGTAACTGGGGGAAAGCTCGGGTTTCTGCCTGCGATGCTTGGACTATGACTGGGAAAATCAGAGCTACCACTTCTAAAGGGACATGCCACTGCTCTGCCTCTGAGCCTTGTTCATCCCTGGAAAGCTGCCTGCTCCATGTGTGGTAACAAGAGTGTTGTGATGGCTATTCTTCTGGAATTTGGTGACCTCTGGAATTAACTAAAACCCAGCAGCTGTGTACATCTGTGAGGGACTTTTCTTAATTAAATAATTAAAGTGGAAAAACCCACCTTTAATCCTGATCTTTTGAGGTAGGATGATCCACCTATAGTCTGGGCCACACCTTCTGCTGGCAGCCTGTATAAAGGACATGGGAGAAGGAAGCTTGCCCTCTGCCTGCTTGCTCTTGCTCTCGATGCCAAGTCCATTCCTTCACTGGCATTAGAGCCTACTTCCTCAGGATCCCAGCACACATGAAGACCAGCCTCACGAACTGAACAACTACTGGATTCCGGCTTTCCATTAGTAGGCAGTCACTGTTGGACTAGCTGGGCCAGAGCCTGGAAGCCACTGTAGTAAATCCCATAAATATATATTCCTTCTATCAGTTCCAATCCTCTAGAGAACCCTGATTAATACAAGCACATTCTATCTCATGAGTGGGAAGATGTATATGGATACAGAGGCAGTTGGACCTCTGTGAGTTTGAGGCCAGCCTGGTCTACAGATTCGCCTTCTAAGAGATAGGATTAAAGGCATGTGCCTGGGTATAACTACAGTTTAACTTTATAGTTTAAAAATTCTTTAAAGAATAATGTTGGAAAACTTGTTATTTTGAAATTATTATGAAACTCTAGTATTCAAGACAGTGCAAGAGATCAATGAAACCTATTCAGAATGTCAGAATTAGACCAGGGAATAAGAGTCCAGAGAGAAACAACTAGAACCATACACCTTCAAAACTAAAAAGCAGAGCTTTTACCTTTACTATTTTCCCACCACATAAAAAAATTAACCAAAAGTGAACCATAACCTACATATAAAAGCTAAAAGTATAAAATTTCTATACTTCGGCTGGGTGGTGGTGGTGCACACCTTTAAACCCAGCACTCAGGAGGCAGAGGAGGCAGATTTCTGTGACTTCCAGACCAATCTGGTTTACAAGAGCTAGCTCCAGGACAGCCTCCAAAGCCACAGAGAAACCCTGTCTAGAAAAAAAATTCTATACTTCAAAAATAGTTGAAGCTGGATAGCTGAATGTAGAAGAATAAAAATAGATCCCCATCTATCACCCTGCACAAAACTCCAATCCAGTTGCATCAAGAACACCAGCATAAAGCCAGATAATCTGAATCTTACAGAAGAGAAAGGATTGAACTTGTTGCCACAAGAAAAGACTTTATGAACATAACACCATTAGCACAGGCACTAAGATCAACAATTAACAAATGGGACCTCATGAAACTGAGAAGCTTCTGTATGGCAAAGGACACCATTATTCAGACAAAGTAGCAGATTACAGGATGGGAAAAGATTCTTACCAGCTACATGTCCAATAGAGGGTAATATCTACAACATATAAAGTACTCAAAAAAAGCTGGACATCAAAACAACAAATAACTCAATTAAAAGATAAAAGTCTTCTGTAAGCATCAGCTTGATCATCAGTCAAGCAAAGAGATGGCCTGCAGAATGTACATGTGTCAGGGGGTTAGTATCTAGAAAATCCTGATGGCAAGGCCTCTATTGCTGAATATACCACACACTTATTAACACAAAGAAATTAAGCTGGTGCTTAACTAGAAGCTTCACTGCTACTGACTAGTGTTTCTAGTGATAGAAGGTGATATGCATAATACTCGAAGAGAAGAGTAACCATCAGTCTCACCCACACACCCTGAGGTATAATAGCTACCTGCTAAAAGCTATACCCACTGGTGCTATAGTGTCACAAATGTCACAGAAGTAACCAACCAGCTCTTGATTGGCTATAAGGCCTGTTTCATGAGATGGAACCCACACCTGAGATGGTTAATGAGGTCAAGAACTTGAGATTAGGTAGGTCTTGGGCCCTAAGGAAAAATATAGTACAATTATTCTGCTAAATGCACACTGCAATAAAACAACTCCTAACTACATATAGCTAAACCCATAGGTCCATGCATTTCTCAACCCACATCAGAGAAGCTTCTTCTTGGAGTAGATGGTAATTAACATAGAGACCCAAAACTAAATAACGGGCAAACAGCCAGAGACCTTTGAGCATTAAATGGGATGTCTTTATCCAATTCAAGACTCAACCTATGTTGAAGAGGAGGATGAAAGATTTTAAGATCCAGAGGTGGTAGGCCACTTCAAAGAAACAGTGTTTCCCAGATAAGACAGGGCTAATGCACAGATGAACTCACAGAGACTGTGGCAGCATCCCTGTACTAGCTACTTTTACATTAATTTGACAAAAGCTATAGTCATTTGAGAGGAAGAAACCTCAGTTGAGAAAATGCCTCCATAGGACCAGGCTGTGGGCAAGCCTTTAGAGCTTTTCTCAACTAGTGATTGATGGGGGAAGGCTCCGGCCACTGTAGGTGGTATGACCCCTGGTACCTCGAGTTCTGTAAGAAAGCAGGCTGAGGAAGTCATAAGGAGCAAGCCAGTAAGCAGCACCCCTTTGTGGACTCTGTGTTAGTTCCTGCCTCCAGGTTCCTGCCAGGTTCGAGGTCCTGCCATGGCTTCCTTCGGTGGATCATGATTCAGGATACATGAGTCAAATACACCCTTTCCTCTCCAAGTTGCTTTTGGTCACAGCAGTAGAAACCTTAACTAAGATCACTCACAAGACCTGTACAAGTTCCAACTAGACAAAACCCCAGCATGGAGAAGGGGAGTCCTACCCCTAACTAAATCTATTTTATTTAATCAAAGAATTAACCACATCCCAGATAGGCTGTATGCTCAGGGATAGTTGGCCAATAAAAAAACAGAATCCATGTTTTGTTTTATTCTATCTCATTTTCTTTCTTTTCTGCTTGTGCTTTGTTTGTTTTGGTTTTGTATTTTTTAAGAGAGAAAAAATATGAAATGGGATGGATATGGAGGAGGGACATGGGGGCTCTTGGGGATGGGAAAGAATGTGACCAAATATATGTGACCATATGCTATATTAATTTTTTGATTAAAAAAAAGACTCTGTTAAGCCAGGTATGGCAGTCCACACCTGTAATCTTGGAAGGCTGTACTATGAGAATAGCAAGTTCCAGGTCAGCAGGTCTATGCAGGGAAACCCTGCCTCAAAAAGCAAAGGGACCATAGACTGGTGAGATAGCTTAGTAGGCAGAGGCACCACGGTCAAGGCTCACAACCTGGGTTTGACTGTCAGGACTGACATGGTACAAGGAGAGAACTAACTCTCACAAGGTGTCATCTGACCAACTTACATGTACTGGATGTAGCGGGAGGCCCTGTGGACACACCCAGAAAATAAAATAAAAAATGTAAAAATGTTTTTAAAAGAAACAACGATTTTTAAAAACCTAAGGAGATGAAAAGCCACAGACTGGGGAAAATATCTGCACAACACATCACCCGGTGAAGGATACAGGGAGGACCCTTACCACTTGATACACAGCAACCCAATGAAAAACAAGGCAAAGACTCGAGCACTTCATCTCAGAACAAATAGAGAGCTGTTTGCTTAAAAGATGTTCACAACATGTGCTATGGAAGTAGAGGAGGGGGTGTGAGTTAAAAGTGTAAGAAGAGGGCCGGGCGTTGGTGGTGCACGCCTTCAATCCCAGCACTCGGGAGGCAGAGGCAGTCAGATCTCTGTGAGTTCGAGGCCAGTCTGGTCTACAGAGCAAGTTCCAGGACAGCCTCCAAAACAATACAGAGAAACCCTGCCTCGAAAAACCAAAAAAAAAGTGTAAGAAGAGTGACGACAGTAAGACAGCTGAAGGCACCACACACTTGGGGACAGGCATGGAGGCGTCCAGCTAGAAGTCTCTTCACTGAAACCTAGCTCTCCTAATACACAAAGGTGCTGTGCAAGCTGCCAAGGGAGGGAAACCTAGGCAGCCCTTCCCAGGTGTAAAGTCTATGAACCACAATAAAGCCTGGAAAAACTATCTGCAGTGGTACAATGGTGGCACTTTTATCTCGGGAATAACAAACAGCTATCTAACTGGACTTACAGCTTACTCAGTAGCAGAGAATTCATGACAGGGCTGCAAATCTAGCCAATTATCCGTGGCTGGAGAGGTCATAGCCCCTAGAGGGAAATCTATCACTTCCGTTTCCCTAAACTGTATAAATTCTGACTGCATTCTAAATTTTTATCTGCATACCCATAAGTTAGTTCTCACTTCTCATTAAAGAAGCTTCTTTTTGTAGCAGATGGTGACCATTACAGAGAGAGCCACACTGATAAAATGCGAAGAACAATGGGATGCACAATCCCAAGGGATACATCTACAACACAGTCCCTACACCTAAGGCTTGGGAAAAACAACAGAAGAGGGGCCAAAAAGACTGGAAGAACCAGAAGACTAGGATACTCGCTTCAAAATAATGTCTTCAAGACATGACAAGGGATCTTGGCAATGGGTAGACCTCTAAGATCTGCCGGTGAAGGATAGCAGACAGAGTAGCCCCCCCAGCCTTTCCCCAAGTTTCTGAATAAAGTGTTTTGACTCAAATAAAGACTGACAAATAAGCTTTACCCATGAAACCTCAACAATATGATTACCTAAATAAGACCTACACATGAGAATACCAGTTGACACGTTAATGTAAATAGGAGGAATTCCACAAGGCCCCACCCCTAGATGAAGAGCTACAGGGAATCAATGTTGCTGAGGGTGGGAGAATCATTTTCTCCAGGGATGGGCTCCCTGATAGGTTAACCTATCCCAAGAGGCCATCTCTAAGTGCATGCATACACAGGCAACACTAAATGGGCTCAGGAAAGGGAGGGAGGGAGGAAGAGAGAGAGGAAAACAGTAATTAAAGAAGAGCTTATGAATTTGAGGGAGGGAAGGAGAACAGAGGAGGTGTTGGGAGGGGGAGGATGGGTGGAAATAGTGTAAATACAGTACTCATGTATGAAATTCAAAAAATAATTTTAAAGTGTTTTTTGATGGCCCTCTGTTGAACAATGGATCTATTAAAGTGTTCCCCGGGTGGCTAGCTCTGTATTGGGGAAGAAGGCAGTGAGCTTCTTTGCAGACCTCAGTCTGGTAGGAGACCGAAAAGAATCCAGAAACAAAGAAACAGAGCCAAATTCTGAGCAGTGTACGGGAAACCAGGGCCAAGACAGCCATCTATGTCTCTGCTATGACATAGCAGAGAACGAATAAATGGTGGTCAGCATCTGAACGGAGACACGCAGAGGCGAGGGACATTACCAGCAGCATTAGTTACTTTGTCAGTGCAATAAAGAACCTGGAAGAGCAAACTTAAGGAAGAAGGATTGATTCTGGCTCATGGTTTGAGGACACACAATCTATTATGGCAGGGAAGGCATGAGGAGAGCTTGCTCACATCTGGGTGGACCAAGAAACAGATGAAAGGATCTCAGGTTGGGAAGGGGTTTCCAACTCAAAAACCTGCCCCCAGTAACCCACATTCACCAGTTAGACTCCATCTCTTAAAGGTTCCCCAGCCTCCCAAAATGGCACCACAAACTAGGGGCTAAGGAGGGCTTTTCACATTTGAACAGAATACAAGTCAAGGGCAGCAAAAACACATATGGGTGGGAGCTCCTTGGATGGAAAAGGCCAGGCAAGCTTTGAGGTCAGGCTTAGTTTTACAGGGAATGAATTAACCTGGGGCTGACATGATCTATCTTATAATGTTTCCTTAGTTCTACAAAGAAATTTAAAGTGGCAACAACAAGAAGAGAAGCAGTCAGATGCCAGACATGCTTCAGAAAGAGAATCTGAAGAAACAAGTCCCATTTCACTAGACATGGAGGACAAGAGGAAGGCCACGGGAAGACCACACATACTTCGAGTAGAGCCAGTATACAGAATGAGGCGCACCACAAGCAATGGAAACCAGGAACCTCAGCTGAACTGAATTTGTACAGACTTCCTTATCAACGTTCCCTACACAAAACTGTAGAGCAACTGTAGCAAAGGCATGTATACTGTGTCGGGTACTGTGGTCACCTGGAGATGGCTTAAGTACTCAAACACAGGGGAGGATGTGTGCATACCACGCTAGTTTCTATAAATGAACTCACGTGCCTATAGAGTCTGACAGCCACCCAGGGCACCTGTACTGGCCAGGCATCCAATTGTTTGAGCCAGCTAAAGTTGAAGCAGTCACATGACCTTCATGGCTCAAGTTTGGAGGTTCATCAGAACCATCTAGCAAGTTGGCTGAGACCACGCTGTTACTCCTGGAGTTTTTGATTCAAAAGGCCAGTGTTACTGAGATGTCCATTTCTAACCAGTCTCCGCCAGTCCAGAACTCCCCTTGTGAAGGGTGCTCTGTTACAAAGAGGAGACCCAGCCTTCATGCCTCACTCCACCCCAGGAGCTATGGCTTGAACACCCACTCCCTGGGGCTCAAATGAGCTCCACCTTGAGAGTTCAAAGGGGCCGGGATGACCACCAGCGGACCCAGCAAGTGCTTGCCTATCCCACAGTAACTGCCTGAGTGTGGGATCCTCCCAGAGCAGGGCACACAAACAACTCCAGGGAGGAGTTGTGTGGGAAGAAAGGTGGGCGGAGATGCTCAGAAGCCCTCAGCATGAAGATGTAAAGGAAACCCGAGTGGGGGAGGCCAGCCTCCTGAGTCACAGGAGCATCTGAGAAACCTGCAAGGTGTGGTGACCCAATCCTTCCTCAAGAAAAGCCCACAGCTTCTAATGTGCAGAGAGCAACTGGTCCTCACTGTGACCACTCTACTTTCATTAGATAAAGGAGCTCACAGGAAAACAAACAAACAAACAAAAAACCCTTAGATTTCCTTGCTTAGACATTCCTTCTGGTTGCTTTTTTTTTTTTTTTTTTTTTTTTGCATGGGGTGGAGCGATGACAGGCTGGCCTGGAATTTGCAATCCCCCTGTCTCAACCTACTGAGTGTTAGGGTTACAGATTAGCCCACCATGCTCAGCTCTTGGTCAGACTTTTCACGTAAGGCTGGGGATGGAGCTAAGGGATGAGCACTTGCCTGGCATGCACGTTGCTCTGAGTTCCAGCTCCAGTGTGAAAATGAATGAAAGTTCAGGCAGGGATGTCCTTGAGCATCTGACCCCTCCCCAAACACGGTTCTCTCCTTGATCCCTGTCACCGGCTTTACCAGACTTTCCTGAACCAGGCACATCTGATAATGTGGCAGGTACCCTTCCCACCAAGCCCATGTTGTCACAAGTCCATCCAGCACATGAGATAGAGCCTCGGGCTGGTGCAGAGAGGCAGGGAACACCAGGATGGGAGGCTGTGCCACACAGCAGCCCTTGCCCAGGACGTACTCCTTACCTTCTCATAGGGACAGTACTTGATCATCTTGATGGGACTCGTGCAGATGAAGACATCAGTGCTGCCAGGAGAGAAAGGGCAGTGAGCCGTGCAGCTGTCTCCACCCCGCTGTGCACTGGCCCACCTCGGCTAGCTGAGCCCTGCCAGGGTCTAAGCCTTTACCTGTCATGGGAAAACCCAGTGTTCTACATCTTCCCACACAAGAGGCTACAACTTGCAATTTCTGCCTGATTCAAAGGTCCCAGGAAGCCACAAATGATATACCCTGGACACAGGCAACAAACTCTGAGGTGGGCAGCTTTTTGCAGGACTAGACCCAGAAGGTAAGCTGGGTTAATTGCATACTCTCATTGAAAAAGAAAACGGGGAGAGAAAGAAGCATTTGGCAACAGGCACAGGACTGAACGGGTACAGAGGGCTGGGAGCTCAATGGTAGAAAAGGTGTCGCAAGGCCTTGGTTTCCTTCTCCAGCACCAAAAAGGGAGGAGGGAGAAAATAAAGGAAAAAATACTGCAGAGTCTATAGACAGTCGGAAGAGAAGTGCATCCCCAGCTGGTTGAGAGGAAACTATCCTCCATCACCTGGCTGTGGGCTGCACAGGAAGGGAACCAGGCTCCACAAGACAAGTTCTCCAGTTCTGTGGCCTCAAGAGGGACATGGACTTCGCATAATAAATGCACTGTCACAGCTCTGGGCCGCTGATCCTGACCAAGAAGGGCTTCCCAGGTGCTTGTTCCTCCCCTCAGTCACAGGACAGATCACCATAACCAACTCCATCCCGTCCCAAACAGTTACCACATTGTGTTCTGCTCTGGCACTGTATGGGCTGGCCCATCAAGCTGAGCTGTAGGAGTGGTGTTTCTCCAACTCTCTTTGGCAAATTAGTCCCTGGGAGATTCGTGCAAGCCTGACTGGTGGCCTCTGGGGGTTTTGCTTGTACCTGCTCAGTGTTCAGGAAAACATCAGGTGCAAAGAGACGGTTGGCAGAGTGACCATATCTGCCCCACCCTCTCTGGAGCTGCCTCACTGAAGGCCCAACTGTAGACAGGCTGCCTTCCCTCTTCTTCACTGTTCCTTCCAAAGCCTGACTGCTGAGGCCCAGGCCACACAGCCTGCCCCGCCTTGCTGCTGCTGCCTATCCCCAGAGGTTAGAATGATTTTGTTCAACTCTCAGTCCCAAGTTTTGCCGGCACTCAACTCCTCAGCCTCAATACAGCCAGTCTGGTCAATTCTGACTCCTCCATGCCATTCTCCTTCAGCCAAACTAAACCTTTACGTGAGGAGGAGGCACAGGCACAATCTTCTGTTGTTGCCTGGCTGGCTCTGAATCCCTATGCTCATATGACCTCTCTGCCTGTCTTCTGAGTAGATGGGTCTACACAGGTATCATCTGGCTCAAACTGATCATTTTTACACAATGTTATTGAGATAAAGTTGACATGCAGGTACATACAGGCAAATGCACACACACATAAAATATAAAAAGTTTTGAAAACTGCACTTATTAAAAGAGAAATTTTTGATAAGTTGTAGGACTTGCACACTACAAAAAGCGGATCGCCATGGTGGAGAATGGAACACACCCTCCCGACCTGTCCCTGACTAGCCTCCTGACGTAGGAGCCCAAGCAACCAAAAAGCTGTTTTCTCCCGCCACTCATCAAGGAAACCCCTCATTGCAATAGACAGAAACCATCACAGAAAACTACAACTGATGCTTGGTCCTAGACTGTTTGTAGCCTTGTTGGAGGAGGTGTGTTACTGGCAGTGTCTTGGAGGTTTCAAAAGCCCACACCAGGGCAAGTTTCAATCTCTCAGCCTCCATCTTGCAGAAAACATATAAGCTCTCAGTTGTTGCTCCAGTGCCTGCCTGCCTGCCTGCTGCCACGATCCCCACCATGATGATCATGGGCTGACCCTCTAAAACTGTAAGCAATACCCCAGTTAAATGCTTTCTCCTATAAGTTACTTTGGTCTCTTCACAGCAATGGAAAAGTAACTATGATACCTAGCATGCATGAAACCCTTGGTTTAATCCTCAGCACTACAAAAATAGACAAATAGACAGACAGATAGACAGGATTGTGATCTAAAAGTAAGATCCAAAATTAAGGGGCTGAGAGAGGCTCAGCAGTTAAAAGCACTGGCTGCTCTTCCAGAGGACCTATGTTTGATTCCCAGAGTTGGCTCAGGAATTGTCCAAGGAATCTGACACCTTCTTCTGGTCTCTACAGACACCAGGCATGCATGTGGGGCACAGACATGCATGCAGATAAAACACCCATACATATAAAATAAAATGATTTGCTTAAGAGCTGAAGTTAAAGCCTTAAAGAAAATATACAAAAAAGAAAAACCACAACGAGAGACCATAGTCACAGCCACCACCAGGATGGCTAAAAAAATAAAAGAGAATATCAAGTGTTGACAAACACATCAAGAAACTGCAGTCTTGCCGGGCGGTGGTGGCGCACGCCTTTAATCCCAGCACTCGGGAGGCAGAGGCAGGCGGATCTCTGTGAGTTCGAGGCCGGGCTGGACTGATAGCCTCCAAAACAATACAGAGAAACCCTGTCTCATAAAAACCAAAAAAAAAAAAGAAAAAAAGAAAAGAAACTGCAGTCTTCCTGAAATTAATGGCAAATACTTTGATTGTTCTTTTAAACATTTAATATAAAATTACCCTATGGCCTCACAGTTTTACTCCAAGGTATATGCCCTAAAGAAGTAACAGCAAATGTTAAAACAAATACTAACACAAATGTTTACAGCAGTAATATTCACAAAGTCAAAAGATGGAAACAGTCCATCAGCAAATGAATGGATACACAAAATGCAGTCTGTCTATACAATGGATACTATTCAATTGTCAAAAGCATAAGTACTTGATCGGGGGTGTAACTGAATGGTTTCAGCACTTGCCAGTCATACAAAACTCCTTGAACCCCATCCCCAGTCACACACACTCACAAGAGTAAAACAGTGAGTACTGACAGCTACTACAAAATGGATAAACCATCATTAAGTCAGACCACAGGCCAGGCAGTGGTGGCACACGCCTTTAATCCCAGCACCCGGGAGACCGAGACAGGTAGATCTCAGTGAGTTCAAAGCCAACCTGGTCTACAAAGTGAGTTCCAGGACAACCAGGGCTGTTACACAGAGCAACCCTGTCTCAAAAAACAAACAGAAGCCTCCAAAACAACACAGAGAAACCCTGTCTCGTAAAACCAAAACCAAAACCAAACAAAACAAACAAACAAACAGAAAAAAAAAAGGAAGAAAGAAGAAAGAAAGGAGCAGCCAGACCACACAGTAGATGGTAGCCCTGGAGGCAGAGAATGGATTAGTGGCTTTTAGGAACTAAAGAAGGGCAGGAATGAGCAGTGTGCTAATGGGTTTGACATTTTGTTTTAGGGGGTGATGAAAACAATTCTGAAATTGACAGTGGCAATGGCTCCATAACTTTGTGAGTGTTCTAAAAGGCCACTGAACCGTACACTTGAAATGCATAAGCTACAAGGTGTGGTGTACATGCCACTAAGGCTGTGCTTTTAAAAGATTTCAGGGAAGCACATTGTCTACACGTTCCATTAGGCTTCAGAGGACCACAGACGGTGGGTATTGAGTGAGGGCTTCACCACAAACAAGCTCTCAGTTCACCAGAACAAAATGACACCCTTGTCCTTCCTGAAACCCCTCTTTCCAAGTGAGGCCTGCAGCTCACCCTCCGCTCAGCACTTGGCAGACTAGGCTCATCTGCCCTGAGGCTCATCTGCCCTGGGTGACGAATGCCCCACAACTGCAAACTGGACTTCCCTGGTGGGTAAAGCCCATGCTGTGTGTCCCAGTCATGCTGGTGCCTACAGCATGTGCCCGGAAGGTCTTTTGCCAGGGTGAGCAATGAGGATGTAATGGGCCTCTGCAGGGCTGCGGAGAGAAGGGCAGGACAGCAAGATAAAGGTGTGGGCCTGGGCTGTCGAGTCCCAGGACAGAAAGGCGGACTTACTTCTGCAGATTGGCCATCTGCTTCACAGCTTCTACAGCTCCTGGCAGAGGCTCCAGTTCAAAGAAGAAATCCTTTGACTCCCAGATGCTGACAGCTTTCTCCTACAAAGCCAAAAAAGCAAGTCACCTCCAGGTCCGCACTGTCTCAATGCCCTCCTCTGGGCAGGGATGCTGCTAGGTGGGAAGGGGTTTGAGGCTCCCTACATTCACCCCAGTCCTGTGTCTTAGCAGGAATCACAAGGTGTTGGCATGTGCATGGGCCCCTCTCTCAGGAAGCGAGTGGTGACTTCTCTTGGGACACAGCAGGGACAAACTAATATGTCAGCTTTGGAGAGCCACCTGGTGTTCTTAGCTTGAGGACAGTCTTCGCAAAATGCACATTTGCTAGGCTTGCCTAGAACAGCCAGCACACAGTAGGGGCTGAGAGAATGCATACATGGTCACGACAAAAGAGTCACTAGAGTTGGAGGCTGAAGGAACTTAGAGATCCCCAGGTGTACCGTGGTCTACAAGGGTAGGAATATGGTGGGCTGGGGAAAGGACAGCTAGGAGAGTCCCAGCTCCCTCGTCACACCGATCAGAACAGCTGTGCTCTCATCTGGTTCATGTGCTGAGGTACCAATACTTTATTGAGACAGGGTCTCTCTGTGTAGTTCTGACTATCCTGGAACTCTCTATGGAAATTAGGCTGGCCTTGAACTCACAGAGATCCATCTGCCTCTGCCTCCACCAAAAAGGGAATTTGTGGCTTATAAAGTTTCAAAGTCAAAAATCCAGACCCTGTGCCAGGTATGGTGGCCCATGCTAGTCCCGTTACTTGAAAGGCCAGACTGGGCAACAAAATAAAACCCTGTCTCAAAAAGAAACACAAACTCTCTTTTTAGCTATAGTAAAATAGATGTCATGCAGCAAAACAGTGGCTAAGTAAGGATCCCCTTTCTATCATGTGTGAGTAGGCTAGAACCCGCCTTCCCAGAATGCTGGCCAGATCTCTCCTAGGGTCAGGCAAGGGGGAAGTAAGACATCTCAGCTTCCAAAATACCACGGCCTGGTTAAGAAGAGAGTAATCAGTCCCCTTGTCACCTACACGGGTTGAGCAAACACACCATTACTAAAATACATGCTCAAGTTTCATCCTTACAACCTACAAGGACCAAAGACTGCTGGCTCACAATTTAAGAAAAGCATGGTTTTCTTCAGGGCCACTTAGGGGGTAATGCCATCAGGACTTGAACTCACAAATGGAGGCAGTATGACCCTTGCTGCAGGCTAACTCTGGGCTGGTGGCCACCCTCGTGGAGCTTCTCACCAACAACATGAAGACCCTTCCCTTGCACCCAGAGTCCTGGTGAGACAGAACAGATATGGCGTTCCAGCACCAAGCTTACAGTTAGCCTCTCAGCTCGCTGTGAAGCAGTGGTAGAGGCCATCCCCGATCTGAGCAGTCCTCTGTTCTAACAGTTGAGGATTCGAAGTCAGTTTGAAGGAGCTTTTCTTTCCACCTTTCCCAACTTTCTTCCAAGAGTACCGTGGAAACAAAAAGGAATAAGGACAAAGGTGCTCCATGGCCCACAGAAGATATGGACCTACATCCATGGAGTCAAACAATCACAGACAGAAAATACTAGGGGGAATTACTGTCTGCACTGAACACTCAGAGGCCTTTTCTGTGTCATTACTCCCTTACCATTCAGTATTCAAAACCATCTCCGTGGCATTTACACTGAGCTTTGTATTATGTCACCTACAGCAGGGTTGAACTACATAGGAGTACACAGGTCGTACACAAATGCCATGCCATTTTACATGAAGGACTTGAGCATCTGCAGATTTTGGTACCCTAGGGGATCCTGGAATGGGTTTCCCTGATACCAAGGGGCAAGAATACAAAGTAAAAATGGCTACACCCATTATACCTAGACTGTTTGGTTTAACCACAGATACTTAAGACAACTAGGTCACAAGCAGGCTCTGGGGTATCCTTCTGTGAGCTGAGGCTTGGAAAGGGAATGAGTGGAAGCCAGTAGGTTCCTCCCTTCCCAGCAGCCTCCTTCTTCCCTGTGCTCTCTACCTTGAACTTGGAAGGTGGGAATTAGTCCCTTTGGACCTGGAGTATCTATACAAAGAGCTATTAAGCCACTTCGTAGTTTCTTTCTTTGTTTTATGGTGCTGATAATGAAACCCAGGGCCTCATGGAACCTGAGCAATCATGACCACTAAGGTAAACCTCTAAGTCTTTGTTGTAGTCTTCTCCCACTCCCCCCTCCTTGTTCTCTTCTTTATTGTACTAGGGTTTGAAGCAAGTCTACTTGCAGAATCTGGGTAGATTTCATTTTGTCCCATTAATATATTCCTGGGGCTGGAGAGCTGGCTCAGTAGTTTAGAGCACTTGTTGCTCTTGCAGAGGACCTGAGTTCAATTCCAGCACCCATATGGTGGCTCACAACCATCTGTAAGTAACTCCAGTTCCAAGGCTTTGGATATCTTCTTCTGACCTTTGTACACCAGAACTGCACACAGTGCACATACATACATGCAGATGAAATACTCACACACATAAAGCTACATAAACAAATAGGCAAATTTAATACATTCCTATAAGGAAATGGTGTCCCCCTAATTCAAACACTGGTCAGTCATCTACAAGTGAACCCCATGTTATTATTGCAGTAATTATTGTAGAGGTTACAGAGGTGACACAGATTGTGACTGTTTCCCTTGCCTTAAAGCGTGTCATAGTTCTCAGCGCTGGGAGATGTTGGCCACCTGGGCTCTGTGGAAGCTGCCTGCAGAAGTTCATTCTGAAAATGAACAGAAATGATTCTCCATGTCCCCTTTCAGTACCTGTCCCTCAGTAAACCAAGTTATTGTAGAGGTGCCTTATTATGTGAGGGTCTGGGAGAGGGGGGAGAGTTGCAGGGCTAGGAATGAACCCTAGGGTCTTACACTGTCTAGGCAAACATCTACCACCAAGCTGCATTACCAGCCCTGTGCACCTCAGGGAAAGCAGAACAGAGAACAGGGCGTTAGGGTGGGGAAAGAGAAATATGTGTGGCAGGCAGACAGGCTGCGCGGTTTGAATTCCGCCTGCATGTCTTGCTATCCAGGGACGTGGGAGCAGGTTTCTATGTGTACAAAGTGGAGACAAGTAGCATCTTCCTACAGTCAAGACAAAGCAGTGGGCCACGCAGGGATTGGGTGAAGTCCTGAGAGAATGTGTGCTGCTGACAGAGGCAGAGCCATATCAAGAACCCCAGAGCCTCAGACGCATGGAAGAAACGCAAAGCCTCCCGGCTGGGATGAATCCCAAAAGCATAGCAAAGCCTTCCTCTGGTCCAAGTGTAGATTTTGACAGTGTGTGCAGCTTTCTCCCTCCGGATGATTGCTGCCTGCAGACTGTTCCTACCTAGACTAGCTAACCTTGTCTCCAAGATCCAGCTGTACACCATAAACCTTTCCTCTGTGTTCATCTGTATGCACCTGCCTTTATGTTCAACTCTGTATAATAAACATGAGCTTGGGGTGGGGGCTACAGTTTCTCCAGCAAAGAGCCCAGGGCAGCTGGCCCAGCTTTCCGTCTGTGTCTCTTCTTCTTCTTCTTCTTCTTCACTACTTTACAGCATCAGTCCCTGGAGGATGTGAAGGACTAGGTGTTACAGACCTGGTAAATCTCACCCTCCTCAATATCGAGTCCTTTAGCTATGGCCCCTGGGCAGTCAACTGAGAGATGCCAGAAAACTCATCCTAATAACTTAATGCTGGGCAAATTCCCCTGTTCCTTTCATAAAATAGTTTGTCTCCAAATTACACTCTCTATACCAAAAACCCTGCACATCTGTCTAGCCATGAGGGAGGGGGCTGCCAAGGGCTCAGCAAGGGCCTTATACCAGTCAAGAGGAAAGTCCACTTGACTCTGACTCCCCATGTGACACTTGGAAAGTCATATACTCTAGTATACAGTATCACTGAAAGCTATGCTTCCATGACTTGGGGCAAAAAGAGGAGGGTGAAGACACTTGTCAAATTCATCGGGAGGAAGAAATAGCCACGTCTGTGTAAGGGTAAGGAGACAAAATGCTTAGTCTATTTTTTTCCCATGTAACAAATTACTTGAGGCAAAATACATCAAGAATTTAAAATTCAAGCCCAGTCTGGTATTATATACTTGTGATCTCAGCTCTTGGAAGGTTGAAGCAGGAGGATCAAAATTTCAAGACCTGACTAGGCTACAGAGTGAGTTAGTTCAAGGGCAGCCCAGAGAAGTTAATGAGAGCCAATGATAAAGAGAAAAAAAAAAAAAGTAAGAGGATTGGCGATGTACATCAGTGGTAGAGAGCTTGTCTAACCTTCAGGAGAATCTGGGTTCAATCTCCAATACTGAGGGGAGGTGGGTAGAGAGGGGCTGTGGTAGGGGTGGGGGAGAGGGAGAGAAGGAGAGAGGGAGAGAGGATCCAGATAGATTTCTATGGGGAGAGCAAGGAGACTGCTGAAAGCCCAGGTGACAGCCAGCAGCAGCTGTCAGCAGCACCCCTGGCGCTGTGGCCACAGGCCTCCCAGAGGCCCTGTTGTACAAAAGGACCCGCCAGAGGTCATGGGGGAGTCGGGCTGGCTTGGGGCTGGACAGCTGCGGCCTCTGTTTCCCCTCCCGCGGGTGCTCACGCTCAGCCCAGGCTGCAGACGTCCGTACTGCTCCGACACCCAGAAGCCACGCCGGTCCTCCAGCGCCACGAAGGGCAGGTCGGGGAAGCGCGCGCGGAACTTCCGGAGGAAGCCGCCCTCGAAGTCCGCCAGCACGCCGTCCATGTCCACCAGCACCCGTAGGGCGCGGCTGCTCGCCCGGCTCCGCTCGGCCCGGACCAGGGCGCCGCCGCGGGGACGCGCGCAGCAGCCGCGCAGCCTGAGCATCGCCCCGCTTGTCGACCTGGATCCTCGGCAGACGCAGCCCTCGCCGGGGACACGGACGCGCAGGCTCCGGCCCAGAGCGAGGCCCGCGCGCAGCACCGCCGCCCTTAAAGGGATACGAGCCTGGAGAAGGTGAGCATGAACTGGGGTTGCTGGTCGCCCTGGGACATCCAGTCCCAGGTTGCAGCGTCTGCGAGAGCCAGACTGGAGCAACTGTGGCACTGGATGGATGGAGGAGTCCAGCACCTGGAGGAATGAACATGTGCCCTTAGGTATTTATTGAGCACTTATTTCATTGGACTTTGAACCCGACAGGTAAGTTTCAGCACAGGTGAATGCCTGTTGTGCGTGGTCCTTTTTGATCACGGATGCTGAATGCATGCAACCATGCATTTAAAGATATCAGAGGGTAAGCCTTCAACTAAATCTACACAGGTTATAAGGAGGACAGATGTTCTGTGTCCAACCTGACTTTATTAGATTCAACAGTGAATCTTCAAATATGTCTATAAATTCCTTAATTGTTGCTATGTTTCATGATATTTAAAAAAAGGAACTAGTAAGTTGAAAAAAATTATTTCCAAGGATGTGAACATGAAGATATTTTAGTAAAGATCTCTCCCCATATGTTAAGACTTTGTCCTACTTGGTTTGGAGCCCGAGCACCTACGTGGTGGGTCATAATCCTAACTCCAGTCCCAGAGGATACAACGCCCTCTTCTGGCCTCTTTGGGCACTGCATGCACATGGTGTCCAGGCATACACGTAGGCGAAACATTCATACACATAAAAATAAATAACAAGTTTTAAAAATTAAAAAATGCTTTGTCCTAGAGTGTGATGGCTGAACTTTTCCCAAATGAGACAGATAAATACAAAGCTAGAAAGCTCATGTCACAGCAGACCTATGCAAGTTACATGAGGTTTATAAAGGATGAGATTAGCCAGAGGACCAGGCAATCTACTGTGAGGCTATTTCCTTGAAATGATAGGGAAGCAGCTGGGAGGTGGTGGGCCACGCCTTTAACCCCGGCAGAGGCAGTCTGATCTTTATGAGTTCCTAGTCCATAAATCAAGTTCCAGACTAGCAGGGGCTACACCGTGAGGCATGGTCTCTAAATTAAATGAACAAATAAGTAGATAATAAACAAATAAAATTTTCATTTTTGAGGGGCGTACATATACTTTCCCCTTACCGTATACAGCATAACAACTGTTGGCCGCATTTGCATCGTGGTGGTGTTACAGATAACCTAGGGATGGCTGAAAGTCTGAGGGAGGATGTGCATCTGCCACATTGAGACTCTTCAGCATCTTACATTAAACTGCCCAAAGTAGCTCCATTCTCACCTGGTTTTAGCACGCTTAGTGGCTCCCCAGTCTCCTGCTAAGCACAACCTCTGTGCAGACTGTTGTCATGTTGCCCCGGCTCTAGCTTCCAGGGGTCTGCTGTTGTATAACACAAAACAAATTGTTTTAATCGGTTGAACTGAAACCTTTAAAATGTGTGACTCCTTGCCTGCCTCTGGTAGGATGTAATTGTGGGTTGTGATTTTATATACCATCTCCTGCCTTGTTTTAGGGCTAAGGAAGCCCCCAGGAACCTGCTCTCCATCACTAGGACTCTTATTGGCCTTTTATATGTGGTCTGTAAGTGCCAAGTCTGGTTTTCTGGACACATTTCAAGGAGAAATGGGGTTTGGGGGAATTTCCTCCAGCACTCCACTGCTCTCACCCTCTCCTCTGGGATTATCTGCCTGCCCTTTCAAACCCAGCAGTGAATCCGCACCTATTACCAAATGCTTTGCTTTTTAAAAGGTAGACAAATCTAAGAGAGTATTACTTGCTATAGAGAAGCAAAACTCTCTCCCTGTGTACTATATTCTAGCAAAAACGGTAGCAGTATATCCTTTTCTGAAGGCTTGTTTGGGCCTTAAACATTTTGCTCTAATTATGACCCTGCTTGTCATCCTGGAACACAACCTGCCTGGCTATAAACAGGGAAGGATGGCTATTGACCAGGTCAGGATCTATGAGCCCTAAACAAGGCGACTGTTATCCTACACCTGGTTGTCTGTAACCTCTGCCCTCTCCTGAGTCTCATCCCTGCTAACGCTGCATTCACCATGTGTCTGGATGTCTTTTTCTGTATCCACCTTCCAATAGAAGAATCCTGGAAATGGTGACAAGGGCCAGTCAGTGTGGACTAGACTGCCTCAAGGATTCAAAACTTCTCAAACTTTTGGAACTTTGGTAACCCCTGATTTAAAAGCCCCAGCAGACCAGCGTAGCTGAACTCTGCTCCAGTGTGTGGATGAGCTACTGCTGGCCAGACAGGTGCAGGAGGGTTATGTAGAATGAAAATAACTCTGTGGGAGGTGGCTACATGGTTTGAAGGAAAATAGATCCAAATCTGTCAAGAAAAAGTCAAATGCCTTGGTTTTCACCTATCCCAAGAAGAGCATTGACTCAGCCCGGAGAGAGAGCAGGCTGTCAGTTATCCTGGTTTCATCAACCTAACACTAGGTTTGGGAGTTCCTCAGGGCCACAGATTGTGGTAGAATCTGAATATCTAATTTCCTATCTTGTCAAGATGACTTTTTGAGACCACAAAGGAGGAGAGGAAGAACCTCTGCCATGGGAACAAGGACAACAGAAGACTTTGAAGAGATTAAGAAAGTCCTCACTGATGTGTCTGACCCTAGGACATTCAGACTTGTCCACACTCTTGTGCATGCACGAACATGCTGGTATTAGAGGGGTAGAGTTCCTGCCACAAATGTTGGTGTCGTGGCATTGCCAAGTGGCATACCTTTCCAGTAACTCCATTGCCCAAGGCTGGCCACCCTGGCTCCTAGGCACTCAGTGCCATTGTCATCTTAGTGTTATAGACTGACAAGTTGACTATGGGAAAAGAATTAATAGTCTTAATGCCACACCAAGTACTGACATTAATGGAGTGCAAGGGACAATACTGGCTAACTAATGCCTGGATGGCCAGGTACCAGGAAATGTGTGAGAACCTGAATATTCACCTAGAAGTAGTGTGGACCTCAAACTCTAAGACCCTAGTATTTGTTGATCTAGACCAGCAAGACCATGACTGCATCAAAGGCATGGATGAGGTATTTTCTTACCAATTGAACTTAACTCTCAAGAACCCTGGATGCTGAGTATTTGACAAATGGTAGCAGTTTTGTGATAGGGAGACTATCTTTCATCTTTCAGTATACTTCATTGTCAACTGAAGTTCCATCATTGAGATGAAATCTCTGCCAAAGGGAACCTCAGCACAAAAGGCAGAACTCATCTCACTGACCTGGGCCCTGCTATTGGCAGCAGGGATGTGTGTTAGTATACACATGAGCTCTCAAATATGCCTTCACCACCCTCCATATACATGAGGCTTTAAAAACTAAAAAGTGCCTAGTCAACTCAGTGATGGCCCACACCTTTAATCCCAGCACTTGAGAGGCAGAGGCAGGTGGATCTCTGTGAGTTTGAGATCTGCCTTCGCTACAGAGGGAGTTCCAGAACAGCCAGGGCTACATAGTGAGACCCTGTCTCTTACCTGGCCAGCTCTTGAGGCCACATTAGCCTGACATTTCTACATCCCTTGACTCTACAGTGTAGCTCAGGTGTGCAGACAATGTGAAACGTTCCTGAAATAACCTGCATTGGGGACCTAAGTTCTCTTCTAGGGTACAGAGTGTTGGAGGAGCCCCATTTGAAGACAGACTTGTGAACTTCACTGAGCTTCCCCAATCTTTGACTGCAAGTATCTGTTACTCTTTGTGTATGCGCTCTCAGGCTGGGTGGAGGCCTTCTTTACTAACAGAGAAGGTGCCACGTCTCCTAAAGAAAATCACTCCCAGATTTGGGATCCCAATCATCAAAGGGTCTGGTAATGGGTTAATGTTTGGGGTGGCACAATTGGTGACAAAGGGGTTGAAGATCACTTGGGCACTACATACTGTCCCCAGAGCTCTGGGAAGGTGGAATGAATAAAACTGCAGCTGAACAAAAACTGTGGGGAAACCAACCTACACGAGGACCAGCTATTTCCAGTTACTTTATTGAGTATTCGGTCTAGCTGTACTGGACAGACAGGGTTCTCCCCTTATCCTTTGTGGATTCCTGTCTCTGATACAGGACATTGCTCTGAGATAACAGATGTAGACTCCTGGTTTGTCCCTGACTACTGTACACCATCGAGTTAGGGAATGGTTACATGCCAACTTGACCACAGATGGTCACCTCTTTAAACCAGGAGATGCCATATGGGTAAAAGAAAGGAATATCCAACCCCTTTGGATGGGTCCATTCACTGTTGACTTATTCACTCCTGTTGCAGTAAAGATGGCCCCCTAATTTCCCCACAGCAGAGTAAAACCGGCTTCTGGAGACTGGGAATGCACTTACAGTTCATCAATAATATGACTCACTCATACAAGCTTCGATGCCAGCTGTATGGACTGCAGTTCCACTTGAGTCACTCCGGAGGCTGACTAATCTGTGTGTGACAGAAGCTTGAGAGATTGGTCATCCGGTGGCATAGACTGTTCCTGTTTCCTATATCAGTTCTTACTGTGATACATTGCCATCCCTTGTCCCTGATCTGTTGCTGTGATCCTTGCCCTAACCTTTGCCACAGGGCAGGCAGAGACCACTCTAGTCAACAAGATATGTGGCGAATGGCTTCTGTTGGTGTTTTTTCCTCTTGTGGGCAGAGTAATTCATTGCTGCTGGTTGCCACCCCTCTGGGCTTTGTTTTTAGACTTAAGTCTGTCTCATGCATGCCGCACCACTTGACATGACCAAGAGGACATCATGAAAACCTTACTTTATCACAACCATTTCACTGGCCAAGGAAAGGTCTTAGGGGCCTGCAGACATGATAAGACCACTATTCCATCTGCCAACTGGGAGATCAATATACCTGTCTCAACCCACAGTACTCCCCCATTGAGAAGTACATAGAAGTCTGGAAAAGGTCCAGTGGAACCAGACTAACTGAATCCACTTTATTGACCCAAAACAGCCAGCAACCTTATGTTTTGACATGTGTGGCACCATAAGCCACACCCAGTCAACTTATAGTGAATAATGTGTGAGTCTATATTGGGAATGGTAAGTATATTTGTGAGGAGTTGAAGTTATATCTGAATATGCCACATGGTACTGTTGTTACTGACCCTATTGGAGCTGTGATTCATGGACCACCTGGAAGGATAAAGATAAAATAGCTCTCCTCCAAAGGGTGTTGCCACCACCAGCCATAAATTGGGAACCTATAATCCTGTTCATTTTTTTACCTCATTGTGCAACAGTTTCCTCTCATTGAAACATTCCATCCTTCCAGGAAGTTCCTTAACCAGGAAGGTAAACAACTCAACATAGCTTCAGGAAGTCCCTGAAACAGATCAGATTTACTAGACCCCTCCCTCCTAGAGTAATCAATAGAGACTGCTGAGGATCTCAGACAAGCCAAGCTGAAAAGAAGACTGAGACCAGACCACCTGCCTGGAAGAGGGGAGAACAGCTGAGCTTGCTGGAAAGGACATTCTCCGGCCTATTGAGTTACCTTCTGGCTGTGCAGTGCACTACAGGTTCCAGTTTTGTGAGCTGTCACTGATACTGGGGTGGGCTGTGGTGATGCATCTGTCTTTGAATCATTTCTGCTCCTGTAAATAACTCCTCAACTATACTCCTGTAAGTAACCCCAATAAAACTCATTGGTTCACAAAGTTGAACTTTAGTGGTATCTGTACTTTTGGTCTGATGTAGACTCCTTATCTAGGTTTAATGCTCCTGTGTAACATCTCCTTAGAAAAGTTTTGTCACACAACAATCCTCCATCCAAAAGGATGGAAGAATGGTCACCAAATGAATATTTATCTTGGGTGTAACCAAGACCCAGTGAAGTGTAAAAGGCCCAAACCCACTTCCATGTTTAAAGTGGATTCACCAATCCCTGAGCATGAAATCCCACCAATCCCTGGACTTGGCTTGAAATTTCATCAATCCCCACCCTAGAAAACTCTTCCCCCAATAAATTCTATATCAGCCTTCTCCTGCTCAATTCCCTGCTGCCTCTTGCCCCAGCAGAGGCGACCACCCTTTTGTGTCTTTCCTAATAAATCTCTTGTGTGAGGTTTGTTGTGCAGTGTGACTTTGTGGCATTTCTTGGCTCCTAACTGCCATATACCTTACTCTTCAGAGCTGTAATACTTACATAGGGGAGACCAACCTCTCCCCTCAGAGCTGCAACACTTACATCCTGGATCCCTATTGCATATCAAAAGAGTACAGTCCCACTCTAAGCCTCATTTCATTCATTTTGTGAGGAGATATAGAGTAGCCTTTCTCCCATCTTTGCTACAGCAATAGAAGCCTTAACTAAGGCAGAAATTGGTTCTTAGCTAAGCAGGAACCCCAAATGTATAATGCTGTTTATCAAAACCCCTTAGCCTTGGATTACTTGCTTGCCTCCGAGAGAGAAGTTTGTGCCAAATTTAACCTGAGCAACTGCTGCTTACAAATAGATGATGAAGAAAGGGTCATAAGGAACAAGAAAAATCACTGTGCCTCAGTCCATATCTGAAGAGGCTGAAACTCCGGGGAATTGCTTGGGGATTGATTTTCAGCTTTAGGGGAATTCAAACCTTCATAAGTGTTATACTTTTTGATTTGGGAGACTTTGTTGAACTGGATACATGCACTGTCCCCGGCAGCGTACAAGTTGGACTATAGAAGGATTTCTAGTGGTTAGATAAAAGCCAGCATTCCTCAGGAACTTGTGAAATGAATTCCCCATCATCCAAAAGAAGTAATTAACTTTGCCTCTGGAAGAAGGGACATATGGCTCTCCAATGACATGTACCTGTGGTTGCTTATCAAAGCCCATGGTAGCCTCCAACTCCCTTAGTCCCTATTCCCATTTCAAAACCTCTTGCTAGTGACCTGGCCCCTGTCACCCGACCTCTACCCCAAACTTCTAGGCTTCTCCAGCTCATGGACTCAAGCGGCTACTCATCCTCCTTACAACCCACTATTCTCTACTGTTCCCTCCCGTGCTCTCTCCCCCACTCTACTCTCTTCTCTGCTTCCCTAGCCCTGGCTGTATCCAGCCTGTTTCTCTTTCATTTGTTCTGGACCTTTCCGGATACCTCTGAGCGTTCTTTCTCTCTTACCAACAATAAAAACCTTCCCCCTAATGGAACTGCCATTTCATCTGTTTCTTTACCACGCCCCCTCACATACACTGTGCTGCTTGGCTCCACTAGCAATAGTCTGTAGCAAGCCTCATTGAGGCCATTGTCAAAAGATGGCCACTCATGTAACCCTTAAACCAAGATTGTGTTCTTTGAACTCAAAAGAGGGAGTTCCAAGCATCAAAGGGGAGGAATGTGGTAAGGGCCTCCAAAGAGCAAAGGGATAATGTGACATAATCAGTGTGTGTGTGTGTGTGTGTGTGTGTGTGTGTGTGTGTCTGTCTGTCTGTCTGTCTGTCTGTCATATCTGTAACATAAACCACTCAACCAAAAGGGGCTAACCTGTTAAGGGAAGCTACATACTGAGAGCTTGGTTTTTGAATCAACCAGGCTAGTGCTAGCACAAATAAATGCTGCATCCTGGCAGATTGCCTTAGTGACCTTCCTCTGTGGAAGAATCTTGTAACCGCTTGACTAAGGGACCATCCCTAGCATGGCAGAGTTGTTTTGAAATAATATCCTTTTCTTTTGCAGAATTTCTGCCCGCCTAGTGCAGCCCCTAGGAGCCAAGCCACCTGAGGGTTGGTGGCTCAGAAAGGAGCAACTAACTTTTCCTCCTCTTCTGCCTCATGCTAGCCAGAACCTAAGTGTGCTTTGGGACTCCTTACTTCCTTCCAGAGCTCCTCGATGCTTGACTGCCAGCCACTCCGTGTCTGACCTCCATGCTGCTTCATCAAGCTGAGTGACTCGTGCTGCTTATCCTCTTCATCCTCTTTCTCCCTTCCAGGCAGCTCTGAGACTTACACTTGCCTGCCCTAGGGCATAGCAAGCTTTTTTTATTCATGTACACGGGCTGCCATACCCTGAGGTAGGGTTCAAGAGGTCAGTATTGGATGTGAGGAACACAAGGTTTTTATAGCTCAGGTGTAGAGTTTCCAAATGGGGGATTTGGCTGGCAAAATAGGCAGGGTTACAAGAGCAGAACTTGAAAGACATGATTGCAAGGTGGTCTAACAAGATAGTCATTAACAACTAATAGTCATAACTGTAAGCATTTCGGGATGGATTGGGTGGGGCAGGTATTCTGGCACTAGGGAGTCACAGAATACTGAGTGTTACACAGCCCAGATGGAAAGGTATCCTGGAGCTCGGGAGCCAAGGACTACCACAGGTTGCAGTAAGCATAGCAGCTTACAGCCCTGCCTCAGGGAAAGGCTTCCCAATGTATCTGCTCTGCTCTGGCAGGAGAGGGTCTTCCTGCTGGGATGTTTGCCCAGTGTAGCAGTTTTTCTCCTCCAGCAGGAGAAGGTTTCCCGGGCAAAGCTGCAACAAAGCTCTGCTCCTGGGAGTGGAGAGCCGAGTGTAACAATTCCACTCTGCCAGGGGAAGATTTCCCCAGCAAAAGTGTTAACAGCTCTGCTGGCTCTGCTTTGTCTGCTCTGCCCAGGGTGGCCTCTGCCCCACCGCAGCAGCAAAAGATCTTCACCAGAAACTCATCAAAGCGGTTTATTGGGAGGGAAGAATCCAGGAGAGTGGCAGAGGACAGCCAGGTAGCGTGAGCAGACACAAGCTGAACAGACACAGGGTTTATATAGGGCTTCCAGGGTGGGGATTGGTCAGATTTCAGTGCTGAGCTCAGATTGGCTAGAACTCTGCTCAGGGATTGGTTAGTTTTCTGCACAGGATTAGGGTCAGATTTGGCTCTGGTTTCAGGGCCAAAGTGTGTTTCTTTCTCTGGTCCTTTTTAGCCTTTTGCCTCCAATTTTAGTGCCAGAGACAAAGTGTGTTCCTTTGGCACTGGTTTCAGAGTCAGGGTACATTTCTTTAGTTCTGGTTGCAGGGCCAAAGTGTGTTTCTTTGACTCTGCTCAGGGTGTGTTTTTTTGACTGGTCCCTTTTCCCTACAGTAACAACCGTTTGAAACAAAGGAAGGGTCACAAGATGGTTATAAACAACTTTTTAAACAAAGGCATGGTTGTCCTTTCCTGGAACAGGCAGTACAGAACCATTTGTAATTAAGGAGGTTTAATCATAAAAAGGAATGAACCTAGTTTGTCTTTACTATAAGATGGCTTTTAAGCCTAAAATGAAGGCAGGCTGGTTCATTAGTAACACTTTTTTTCCTGCCTTGTAATTCCTTAATTGGCAGAGAACAGGAGTCGTTCTTGCACCCCTGGATAGTATTAATCAGGCTTGGCAGCAAGCAGCATTACCTGCTTAGCCATCTCTCACTCCCGTTTAAAAAAAAAAAAAAACCTCATGAGCTTTTTACAAGTGGGAAAAACAAGAGAGAAGCCAGTCACTCAATTGCACAGCTGCTAAGTGGTTAAAAACGGTTCTAAAGAAAAAAAAAACCTTCCGGAAGTGACAATGGAGCTTTGTCGAAAGTATGCAGCTAGGTGAAAAAAATGTTCGGTCTTTTATTAGCAAAACTAGGCAGAGATGTTTTGTGCTTAAATAGTAGTCCTTCTTTTCTTCATTATTTCCATTCAATGAGATTTCACAAGAACACTACAGCTAGAGGCGAGGGAGGGGAGCTAACTTCCGGCAACTAGCGGAACTGTTTCCATGGAGACAGAAGGGGGCGTTCCTCAGCCAGGTAAGATATCGCGGTGCTTGGCCGGCGGAAGTGACGCGCCTCCCTTCAGGCTTTGGTGGGTCGAGGGGCCCCTCCTCCTAGAGCGGCCGCCTTTTCCCGCGCGAGCCACCTCTGCTGTTTGGGCCACCAGCGGGGAAACATGGCGTCCGCCCTGGAGCAGTTCGTGAACAGTGTCCGACAGCTCTCAGCTCAAGGTAAGGCCTGGGCCGCAGGGTTGGGCCTGCATGCCCTGGCGCCGGTGCGGATGCTGGGGCCGCCCTTAGCTCTAACCTCTCCTCCTCGGGCCTCGGGACTTAGGGTAGGAGCGCACGGCTGCGAGCAGCACTCTGTCGGGCGCTGTAGTCTCCGCCGTCGCCTTGCTCCGTCTCGGGCTCTGGCGATTTTCCTTCCCCTCCCCCATGCCCCCCTCCCCCTAGCTTTCGGGCCCCTGCCACCGTGCGCCGCTTGACAGTTTGGGGGCGTGACTTCCGCTAGGCGCACTCCGAAGCACCCATTGGTCCCTTGGCCATCCCTTCTTTTCTATGATTGGTTTAGCGCTCTATCTGTCGTGCGGGTCTGGCCACCCTGCCCAGGCCTCTGGAGCGGCTGGAGGGGAATGCTTTCTGGGCTCCTTGGCTCGGAGACTTGAGCCTTGGTCCTTGGCTGGCCAGCAGCGCACACTCTGAATCCTTCCGTTCCTATTTTGGTCGTAGTGAACTCCAAGGGAAATCTCACTTGTCAGACTCCATTTCTAGGGCGTAGAATTGTTACTTTATTTTCCCTTGATTTACATACTGTCTGGTTCATTCATTTTATCATTTGAACACACATAATCTTGAGCCAGAAAAATATGATCTCTCCCGAATAGAGTTGAGGAAATTGAGTGGAGAAAGCAGTAAAAGTGCCTGAGACAGTGCTTCTCTTGGGGTACTATAAATATGGCTACAAGCTATTGTTGACATATCCCGAAAATTTCTGTGAGGTTAGACTCTTGTCTCTGTTTGTGAAATAGGGGTTTAAGGTGTGTAGGGGGGTTCTGTTTTAAGGTGTAAATGATACAGTATGAAACCATGCATAATAAATCGTAATTATCATTTTCCTTATTGATAGAATTAGTCTCACAGGCCAGTTACATACCTGTGAGTTTTGTTTTTTAGATATAGCATTCGTCTGTACCACACAAACAGGAAAGTAAAGTGGGAGTGTGGCAGTGTACTATTTTAACCCCAGCCAGTGCTACACAATGAGACCCACATCTCTAAGAAAACTAATTCATTAAGTGGGGCTGGAGAACAGATTGGCAAATACTAACTACCCTTCAAAGGACCTGAGTTCAGTTCCTAGCACTGTTAGTGGACTCCC